GCCGTGAAGCTTCGCCTCTGGGCCTCAGTATATCTGGAATGTGGGGCATTGGACAAGGTGACTTTTAAGGCAGTAATCATCTCTGCAGGCACATATTAGAATAACTGAATGCTTAATAAAACCAGGATTGCTGAAACCTATCCTCAGAGATTCTGATTCCGTGGACCTGGAGTGGAGACAAGTTCCCAGGAAGCATTGATGCTGCCGGACTGGGTAGCACACTTTGAAGACCCACTGCTGACACGCATGCCGGTAGCTATGGAGTCACAGAAAGATGGATGGAGTGAAATACTTGACAGGACAATGGATAGGCTGTGGCGACTGGTTAAGGGAGAGTGAAGCGTCAAGGGCAAGACTTTGGAACGGGATCCAGCTTGGGGGAGATGCGGTGTTTTGGGTGGCCTTGAACAAGGAAATGGCAGCAGAACAAGAGCTCAGACAGATCTGAGCGGAGGGGGAGGCCCTGGAGTCAACAGGATGAGAATGTCAAAGGAGGCAGGGTGTGGGGAAAGGAGGAAGTGCCCTGAAGGGCAGGCAGAGTCTTGTGTTGAAGAAGGAGAGTCCCTTCTAATCACCAACATAGAGGATGTTCCTCTCCTTCCTCCCTCTCGGGCTCATCACCATCCAGTTCAGGGCTCCCGCCCCACCTGGATGCGACAGGAGCCTCTTAATCCAACACTTCTCAAAATGTCATGTGCACACCAATGACTTGGGGCTCTTCATAAAATACAGATTCGGATACTGTAGGTGGGGGCTTGGGCTGCGATTCTGCTTTGGGGCAAGCTCTCAAGTCACGAGGACCCCATGTCTGACAGCAAGGTACGTTGGTCTCCCTGCTCCGTTCAGCGCTTGCCTGGTCAGGATCTGCTCCCGCCATCATGGGCCAGCCTTCCTGCCCTGCCGCTACTGCCCTCCAGTCCCCATATCCCGTCACCTTCTCTTAGAGCTCAGGAAGGGACAGAAACCAGTGCAGGCTGGCTTCCCAGTGCAGGGAGGCAGCTTCTGCCATAGTCTTCCTCCATTTCTGCTGACAAATCTCACACGCCCCACCCAAGAATCTTGTCAAAACTGTTTACACACACC